GGGTATATGAACAAGAAGGATTTAGAGGAATACGGGCCAAATGCTGGCAAATGGGACTAGATTTATATATAATATCTGGTCAGCATGGACAAGTTGGACTAAAGGGTCTGTTTCCATGCTGTTTATCTCTATAACTATGACTTTCTCGTTCTGGACTCCCCAGTCATCCAGAATATATGTCCTGTGTTAACCCTATCTAGTCCTGTTAGAATTGTACAGGTTTCTATGAGATTCCCCCCCTCATTCTTCTAAACTCCAGTGAATATAATCTTAACCAATCCAATTTCTCTTCATACCTCAGTCCTGCTATTACAGGAATCAGTCTGGTAAACCTTCACTGCACTCCCTCCATAACCAGAGCATCTTGAATTGGATGAGTTAAGACTAATCAACAACATTCTCATGGTCACCATTACTGAAACTTTACATTTTAGATTTATTAAATTAGTTTAAATTCTACCTGCTGCTGTGATAGGATTTGAATCCATGTCACCAGAATATTAGCCTTCTCTATTCCTAGTCTAGTGACATTAGCAGTATTAGCCAGCTCCTCTAATTACAGAACTAGAGTTTCAGCTTTCTGGGTACAATTGCCAGTTCCAGAGCAGATTGCATGAATTTGAAAAGTGTTCTTTTCCTCTGAGGTTCTGCTCAAACGCGTTTGTTTATTGCCGAAAGCAAAGTTCTGCCACAAGTCAGTGCAATCAGTGCGTGTAATAAATCTCAACTTCTTTTCAAAATTTGTTTTAAAAATTTTCCTTCTATTTACAAGTGAGAAGCTGGTGAAATTTCATTAAAACTGCTGAAAACAGGCTCCCCAGGTCAAAAAATACTGGTAATGTACCAGCTCAGCACAACCAGATTTTAAAATGATGAAAACTCACTTGGAAAAGAAGGAACTAATTTTCTTGTTCGAACGATCAGAGCTGTTCTGGGAGCCAGCAGCTGCTCAGTAGGTAACATCCTTACTTCTGAGCCTGAAGGTTCAGAGTTCAAAGTAGCAGCAAATTACTGCAGACGCTGGAGTCTGTCCCGAAAACAACAAATGCTAGAGATCACAGAGGATCAGGCAGCATCCATGGAGAGAGAGCAAGCTAGCATTTCAATGAACCGTCAACCAGACTCGAAACACTCACTCGCTTTCTCTCCACGGATGCTGCCTGACCCGCTGTGATCTCCAGCATTTTTTGTTTTCGGTTCAGGGTTCAAGTGCCTCTCCAGGCGTAAAGCACAAATAAAATCTGGTGCAGTACTGAGGGAGGGTTGCACTATTGAAGGAGCCATTTTCTACATGTGAAGGTGCCGGTGTTGGACTGGGGTGGACAAAGCCAGAAGTCACGTGACACCAGGTTATAGTCCAATAAGTTTATTTGTAATCACACAAGCTTTGCGAGTGCAGACCCTTTGTCAGGCACAGTGACAGAGCAGGGCACACAGACCCAGAGTTTATAGGAAGAGAGATCAAAAGATCATATAAATGGTGTGAGTGAAATGTCAGGTGATAAGTCTCTGCAGGTAACCAACAGTATTAGACGGTGTGTAAAGTGTTTATAAAGTCAATGTCAGTGCTCTGTTGTCATGACAACAAGGCAGAGCCATAGGAATATACAAAAGGTGACATCTCAGGTCAGTCACTGAACTGTAGGTGTGAGGCTTTGTTCAGAATCTGTCTCAGAGTTTTAACCTGGAATCAGGCTGGTTTTCTTCCGGAAGCTGGAATTTATAAGATGCCTCAGTGACTGACCGTGACTACAAATTATGTGTTTTTGAACAAAATAGAATGTATCTGCAAATAAACAAACAGCTTGGAGGAAATGATTCACCCCATAGCTGTGTGTGTGTGTGTGTGTGCGTGTGTGTGTATACGCGAGTGTAATAAGTAATTCAAAACTGTACACACTAATTAATGTAGACAGATCATAACAAGTTATCAAGGTGATGCTGTCAAAACAGGGCAGTAAGGAAGGTTTTTTCAGACCCAGAACAGTGTGGTAGGGTCACATGTAGCGTGACATGAACCCAAGATCCCAGTTGAGGCCATCCTCATGGGGACCAAACTTGGCTCTCAGCCTCTGCTCGGTGACTCTGTGTTGTTGTGTCCCCCAAAGTCTGCCTTGGAGGACGTTTACCCGAAGACCCAAGGCTGAATATCCTTGACCCCTGAGGTGTTTCCCCACTGGGAGGGAACATCCCTGTTTGGCGATTGTTTCGCTGTGTCCATTCATGTGTTATTGTAGCGTCTGCATGGTCTCACCGATATACCATGCCCCGGGGCATCCTTGCCTGCAGCGTATGAGGTAGACAACTTTGGCCGAGTCACATGAGTATCTACCATGTACGTGGTGGGTGGTGTCCCCACGTGTGATGGTAGTGTCCATGTCGATGATCTGACATGTCTTGCAGAGGTTACCATGACAGGGTTGTATAATGTTGTGGTCGATGTTGTCCTGAAGGCTGGGTAGTTTGCTGCGAACAGTGGTCTGTTTAAGGTTTGGCCGTTGTTTGAAGGTGAGAAGTGGAGGCGTGGGGAAGATCTTGGTGAGGTGCCCATCGTCATTGATAACGTGTTGAAGGCTGCGAAGAACATGGCGTAGTTTCTCCGCTCCTGGGAAGTACCGGACGACGAAGGGTACAGTATTGGTCTCATCCTGTTCTGTCTTCTGAGGAGGTCATTACGGTTTTTTGCTGTGGCACGTTGAAACTGGCGATCGATGAGTTGAGCATCGTATCCTGTTCTTATGAGGACGTGCCTCAACACCTTCAGGTGTCCGTCATGTTCCTCCTCATCTGATCAGATTCTGTGTAGGCATAGGGCTTGTCTGTAGGGGATGGCTTCTTTAATATGCTTAGGGTGGGAGCTACAGAAGTGCAGCATTGGTGACGTTATCTACAGACTTGCGATAGAGTGAGGTACTGAGGTATCTGTCCCTGATGGAGGTGTGTGTGTCCAAGACTGAGACTGATTCTAAAGAATAGTCCATCCTAAGACTGAAAGTGGGATGAAAGTTATTGATATCACTATGTGTGGAGCTGGAGAAACACAGCAGGCCAGGCAGCTTCAGAGGTGCAGGAACGTTCTTCACAAAGAAGGGTCCCTACCCAAAACGTCAACTTTCCTGCTCCTGTGATGCTGCCTGGCCTGCTGTGTTCCTCCAGCTCCACACGGTGTTATCTCTGACTCCAGCATCTGCAGTTCTTGCTATCTTCGATATCACTATGTAGTTGTTTCAGTGATTCCTCGCCATGAGTCCAAAGGAAGAAAATGTTGTCAATGTATCTGGTGTATAGCGTTGGATGGAGGTTCTGTGCAGCAAAGAAGTCTTTTTCAAGCCTGTGTATGAAAATGTTGGCATACTAGGGGGGTGCAAATCTGGTCCCCATGGCTGTTCCGTGTGTCTGGGTGAAGAACAGTTTGTCGAAGGTGAAGACATTGTGTTTAAGGATGAAGCGGATGAGTTGTAGGATGGCGTCTGGAAATTGGTGGAAACTAGCTGTTGGTGGTATTGAGCACTGAGGCTGTTGCAGCGATGCTGTCATTGTGGGGGATGTTGGTGTAGAGAGCCAAAATGTCCATTGTGACAAGGAATTTTCCTGGTTCGACTGGGCTGTTGGTTCTGGAAGGAATCTGTGGTGTCACGACAGAAGCTGGGGGTTTGCTGTACAATTGGTTTCAAGGTGCCCTCAACATAGCCAGAGGTTCTCACACAGGGTCCCAGTGCCTGATACGATGGGACATCCAGGTGTGTCGGCTTTGTGTATCTTCGGAAGCAGGAGAAGTCTTCTACACGGGAAGGATGTGGGATGAGAGTGCATAGCATACTCTAAAGGTGGATCAAAGGTCTTGATCAGTCTGTTGAGTTCACTGTTCAGATCGGCAGGTAGTTGTCTGTAGTGTTCCTGGTTGTTCAGTTGTTGGTACACTTGCTTGCAATTGTCCTTCCTATTCTGTATGGCGATGGCTCCTCCTTTGTCTGCTGGTTTGATGACAATGTTGCGATTGGTCTTGAGAGCACGGATGGCGTTGCGTTGAGCCTGGGTGACGTTTTGCGCTACCTTGTGAGTGCAGCTGATGAATCTGGCGTTAACACATCTCCTGTCGAGCCTAGGGCAGGGGCCTTCCAGGGGGGCCAATTTGACTCCTTCTTCTTTGGTCACTGCACCACGATTTCTCTGTTGACTGTTTCAGTTCACTGGTTGTCTCATTGGGCTCGCTGCTGACATCTTAACATAGAAACAAAGAAGAAAGGAGCAGGAGGAGGCCATTCAGCCCTTTGAGCCTGCTCCACCATTCTTCATGATTATGGCTGATCGTCCAACTCAACAGCCTAATCCTGCTTTCTCCCCATAACCTTTGATCTCATTCGCCCCAAGTCCTATATCTAGCCGCCTCTTGAATACATTCAATGTTTTGGCATCAACTACTCCCTGTGGTAATTAATTCCACAGGCTCACCACTCTTTGGGTGAAGAAATGTCTCATCATCTCTGTTATAAATGGTCTACCCTGAATCCTCAGACTGTGACCCCTGGTTCTGGACAAACCCACCATCGGGAACATCCTCCCCGCATCTACCCTTTCCAGTCCTGTTAGAATCTTATAAATCTCTATGAGATCCCCCTCATTCATCTGAACTCTAACGAAAACAATCCCAACCTGGTCAATCTCTTCTCATACGTCAGACCCACAATCCCCAGAATCAGCCTGGTAAACATTCGCTGCACTCCCCCGAGAACAAGAGCATCCTTCCTCAGAAAAGGAGACCAAAACTGCACACAATATTCCAGGTGTGGTCTCACCAAGGCCCTGTACGACTGCTACAACACATCCCTGATCCTGTACTCAAAACCTCTTGCAATGAAGGCCAACATACCATTTACCTCTTTACCACCTGCTGCACCGGTATGCTTACATTCAGCGACTGGTGCACAAGGACACCCAGGTTTGTGGAAGAATTTCCGGAGCCTCATTTTCCTGATGGATTCCTCTGTGTCTGCCACTAGACCAATGGGGCTCGTTTTGCTGGTGGGGCAGAAATCAAGCCCTTGGCTGAGAACTTTGATTTCGTCTGGTTGAAGGGTGTAGTCAGACAAGTTGATGATGGATTCCCCTGTGTTGGTCACGCTTTCATCCATGGTACCGGGGTGGTGACTCTGAGACAGATTCTGAACAAAGCCTCACACCTACGATTCAGTGTGTGGCCTGCGATGTTACCTTTTGTATATTCCTGTGGCTCTGCCTGATTGTCATTACAGCACAGCACTGGTATTGACGTTATAAACACTTCACACACCATCTAACACTGTTGGTCATCTGCAGAAACTTATTATCTGATCCTCCACTCACACCATTTGTATGATCTTTTGATCTCTCTGCCTATAAACTGTGTGCCTGTGTGCCCTGCTCTTTCACTGCACCTAACAAAGGGACTGCACTCTGAAAGCTTGTGTGATTCCAAATAAACCCATTTTCTAGATGAGGATGAGAAACTGATCACTGAATGCCTGCAGTGCAGAAAGAGGCCATTCAGCCCATCAAATCTGCACCACCAAAGAGAGATTTGATTGAAACGTATAAAGTTCTAACAGGGCTAGACAGACTTGATGCAGGGAGGATGTTTCCCCTGGCTGGGGAGTCTATATCCAGGGGACACAGTCTCGGGGGGATATGGGGAGACCATTTAGGTCTGAGATCAGGGAACATTTCTTCAATCAGAGGGGAGTGAACCTGTGGAATTCTCTATACCACAGGAGGCTGTAGAGTCCAAGTCACTGAATATATTCAAGAAAGACAAAGATAATTTTTTAAAGATTTTAAATGGATCAAGGGGTACAGGGAGAAAGCAGGAATATGGCGTTGAGATAAAGGATCAGTCATTATCATATTGAAAGACAGAGCAGGCTAAAAAGGGCTGAACGGCCTGCTCCTGCTCCTAGTTTCTATGTTTCTATGACCTTATGTCTGACACTCTGGAATTCTAACTCCTTTCATTTACACACTATTATTCTGACTTATGTCATGCAGCTCTGATCTACAAATTATTCCATTCTGTCAGGTTCTCAGTAGCATATGATGGCTGACGTCAGTGTTGCAAATTATACCGTTACACTAGCAGTTTCCTAAATCATAGTGAAATAATTCAACAGTAAGAGTGCTGCATTGCTTTTGGGTGTGAAAGATTTCAACATTTTAGATGCAACTTGCATTCACTGCACCTCAGATTTCCAACATGTTTTGTACTCGTTTTAAAAAAAAGTACACCCAAAGCAGGCCTCACTCACGATGTCAGCCATGCCCCAGGGTTAGTGCATGATCACTAGGATTTTCTGCTCATCTATTTGTAGGTATCTCAGAAGCTCTACCACTCAATCCAGCCTCTTTACACAAAAAAACTAATTGGCATGACTTAGAAAGTGTTTCAAATGTGATTTAGAATTAATTCACTAAAAAGGATGGCTAATGCACACCAATGTTTTAAACAAGGGTCTTGCATTTGAATCAAAACCAGAAGTTGCTGGAAAAGCTCAGCAGGTCTGGTAGCATCTGTGAAGAAAAAAATCAGAGTTAATGTTTCGGGTCCGGTTCTGAGGAAGAGTCACCGGACCCGAAACATTAACTCTGATTTTGCTCCTCACAGATGCTGCCAGACCTGCTGAGCTTTTCCAGCAACTTCTGGTTTTGTTCCTGATTTACAGCATCTGTAGTTCTTTCACTTTTTATCTCGCATTTGAACAGTATCTTCACAATCACCGGACGTCTCAAAGCGTTTCACAGCCACTGATGTGCTTTTAGATGTGTTGTCCATGTTGTGATGTAGGAAACCCAATATGCACACAGAAAGTTCTTACAAACAGCAAAGTGTCATTGGCCAGCTAATCTGTTTCAATAAGGTTAGACAAGGGATAAATGTTTGCCAGCTTACCAGGAAGAACACCCTGCTCTTCTTTACAACAGAGCCTAGATTATTCTACAGCTACCTTGAGAGAGCAGGTGGGGTCTCAGTCTATCTGCCATGGCAGGTTTCAAACCCTTGCCTCCAGAATAGTAGCTTGAGATTCTGGTTTACTCCTCCAGTGACATTATCACTATACCCCACCTTTTCCCAATTCATAAAGCAGGCACAGCAGAGAGGGAGACTATTCAGCCCATCATGGCTGCACGCACTCAGAAAGTAACTCACCCTGTCCCTTACCCCAAACCATTTCCCTGTAGCATTGTAGATCTTGTCTTTTCCAGATATTGAACTGTACACATGCATCGAGCCTTGGCAAGATCTCTCTTGGGAGTGCTGTGCATGTCTTAAGGTGTTAAATGCACTAAATAAGTAGGATTTACGGGTAGGCAATGGCCTAGTGGTATTATTGCTTGACTATCAATCCAGAGAACAAGGTAATACTCTGGGGACCTGGGTTCGAATCTCACCATGACATGTGGAATTTGAATTCAATAATAATCTGGAAACAAGGATTTAATGATGACCATGAAACCACTGTCTATTATCTGTTTTTTAAAAAAAACCCACCTGGTTCAAAGTCCTTTAGGGAAGGAAACTGCTGTCCTTACCTGGCCTACATGTGACTCCAGACCCACAGCAATGTGGTTGACTCTTAACTGCCCTCTGGGCAATTAGGGATGGGCAATAAATGCTGATCCAGCCAAAAATACACACATCCCATAAATTAATTTTTAAAAATGTGTTACATTGGGGTTGAGATTTGTTTACAATTTGCAAGTGTCCCCTGTTTTATTGGGTTCCTTGTCTCTATGTTCCAAATATCTCACATAGCCATGAAGTACACATCTTTTACAGCTAGCCATCATTTGAGCCTTCCTGCAGAGACAGATTGTTCTAGAATCTTCACTCACTTCAGCATCACTTTGAGGCCAGCATTTAACGTCCATCTCCAAATACTCTTGCTTCATTAAATAGAGCTACAACAAAAGGAAATCCCAAAAGTCTTCTATAAGCAAATCAATGGTAAAACAGTGCTAAAAGGAGTAGGGCCAATTTGGGATTTATACATAGAGGCAAAAGATACAGCCTGTGGTGAATACTTTGCATCTGTCCTTATTTACAAGGCAGATGCTCCCCAGGCCATGGTGACAGAAAAGGAAATTCTGTCACGAGAAGGGTTTAAAATTGACAGGGTGATGGTACTGGATAAGCTACTGATAATTAAAGTTGGCGAAACACGGAGACCGGATGAGATGCACCAAAGGATATGGGAGTGAGAGTGGAAATTGCAGAGGCTCTGACAATTATCTTTCAATCTTCCCTGGATGTGGTAGCAGAGGATGGCAGAATTATGAACATGTTAAATAAAAAACAAAGGTTGTAAAGATCAGCCCAGCTGGCTTAACATCATTCGACAACCAATTATTCAGGGTAGATTTTAATAGGCGTATGGAGAAGTCTGCATTAATTCAGAAAAATCAGAATGGATTTGTTCAGAGAAAATCATGTCTAATTGACTTGGTGGAGTTTTTTTGTAAAAGAGATAACAAAGAGCTTTGCTGAGGGTAATGCGGTGTACATAAACTTCCAAAAGGCGTTCAATACAGTGTCACACAGCAGACTAATGAGGTGAGAAACAGAGTTAACATTTCAAGTCCAAATGGCAATTCTGTTTCGATCGCCAGATGTTGCTGAGTTTCTCCAGCATTTTCTGTGCTTTTTTTTTCAGATTTTCAGTGTCTGTGGTATTTTACTGTGAACTAACATTTGAAATACTGTGTCCAATTCTGGTCTCCCTTCTATAGGAAAGATTTTGTTAAACTTGAGAGAGTGCAGAAAAGATTTCCAAGGATGTTGGAGGTTTTGAGCTGTAAGGAGAGGCTGAATGGGTGAGGGCTTTTTTCCCTGGAGCGTTAGAGGCTGAGGGGTGACTTTATAGAGGTTTATAAAATCATGAGGGGCAAGGATAGGATGAATAGCCAAGGTCTTTTTTCCAGAGTAGGGGAGTCCAAAACTAGAGGGCATAGTTTTAAGATGAGAAGGGAAAGATATAAAAGAGACCTGAGGGGCGACCTTTTCACACAGAGAGTGGTGCATGCATGGAATATGCTGCCAGAGCAAGTGGTGGAGGTTGGTATAGTTACAACATTTAAAAGGCATCTGGATGGCTACACGAATAGGAAGGATTTAGAGGGATATGGGCCAAATGTTGGCAAATTGGACTAGATTAATCTAGGATATCTGGTCGGCATGGACGAGTTGGACCGAAGGGTCTGTTTCCGTGCTTTACAACTCTATGATTCTATGACTTGAGAGCAAAGTTATAGCTCACAGAATAAAAACAAAATGGCATAAGAGAAAGAGGATGATGTTCAATGGGGGGACAAAGGTTTGCAATGGATTTTCCCAGGGCTCGCTACTGGGACCCTTATTTTTCCTGTTTCTGTCAATGATCTCGAACTTTGTAAGCAAGGGACAATTTCAAAGTTTGTAAACAATAAAAAATTCTTGGGAGAATTTTAAACCCTAAGAATGGTGTAGAATTTTAAAATGATGTTGAGACATGGATGGAATGGGCAGATAGGTGGCAGATAAAGTTCAACGCAGAGAGTGTGAGGTGATACACTTTGGCACGAAGAACATGGAGAGATGGTATAAATAAAGGATCCTATTCTGAAAGGAGTTCAGAAGCAAGAGAGAGCTGGTTGATATGTACACACCGCTGAAGGTAGCAGGACAGGTAGGGGGAGCTGTTAATGAAGCATACAATATTCTAGGTTTCATTAATAAGGCATAGAGTACAGCAGCAGGGAGGTTATGATGAACTTACAAAAGACATTGGTTAGGCCCCAACCGTGGTATTGTGTACAATTCTGGGTGCCACACTACAAGAAAAATGTGACCAAATCGCAGAAGAGGTTTATGAAACAGTTCCAGGAGAGAGAAACTTCAATTCAGAGGATAGGATGGGGAGGTTGGGACTGTTTTTCTTGGAGAGGAGAAAGCTAAGGAGAGATTTGATACAAGTTCTCAAAGTCATAGGGGTATGGGACAGAGTGAATTGAGAGAAACTGTTCCCACTCAAAAAGGATAAAGAATAAGAGGGCACAGTTTTACAAGTGTTTTACAAAAGGAGCAAATGTGAGGTGAGCAAAAAGCTTTTTCACACAGCAAATGGTTC